TGAGAGAACCCCTTCCTCAAGTTCCCGTCTCCCTCGCGCTTCCAGCGTTCCTCATCCCACGGACACTTGTTCAACGAGGGACATGTGACCATGCCAAAAATCTCGGGCATCAGTCCCGTGGGAAATGAGGAGTAGGCCCAGGCACACCCACGCGCCAGTCTCTTGGCCAAGCCCACATGCTCCTTGATGCCGAACAACTTGCCACCCAGGCCAAACATACCGCCAACAAAACAGGACAAATGCTGGCTCTCGGGGTTTCGTCTGACACCGTTGTCGACAAAGGCCGTCCCGGCAAACAAAATATCTTCACCTCCCGGAAGCATTGGCCGAAATAGTAGGTGTTGTTGAGCAGTTTTCATGGCGTCACGGTACATCTTTTCGTAGGCAGGATCAGTCCCGCCAAGCAAGGCATACATCTTGGGTATGTACTCATAAAGAGAGTCAGCGAGCGCGCCTAGGGTGAATTCGTTGTGGTTGACGACAGATTCGTCGCGAAAGTTGATCAAGGCCGGCCACATTCCGGGCAGTTGGCTCTCATGCTGTGTTCGTTCTAGAAAGAGCTTGACTCTTTCGATCGCATCGAAGTACTTCGGTTCGCCAGTCAGCTGAGAAAGCCTAGTGAACTCGAGAGATAGAGAACAAGGCGAGGCTGACGGATCGTTCGTGCCCGCGATAAGCTCCCCGCTCTTTGCTGCTTTGAAGTCTAACCAGAATGGAGGCATTCGATTAGGGGTGTCGAAGGCAGCATACAGCATGTCCCCTAGCTGGATGGCCTTGGCTAGCAGCACTGGTTCGCCGCTGAGGTCGTAGGCACTGAGAAGGCCACCAAGATGGCGAATAGTTGTCTCAAAGACGTTGACGGACGTTTCGACCGTGTTATCCCAATCAATATTTGCGATAGACGCCAGGGCCAGCCCGAACTCATCGTGTAAATCCATTATCCATAAGGTATCGAGAGCGTCAACGAGAGTAGCTGCATAGCCTCCAAATGTGTTCTTGCCCTTGGCAGAGACGGGCATCAGCTCGTCATACTCCCAGGCGTATTTCTTGTAGCTCTCCCAGCTCCTGACAAATGTTTCTCGAACTGCAGCTCGCCGTGAGTCGGACGTCGCATCGTTTGGTTGGCCGCGCTTCGCGCTGGGCGCGAATTGGACTCGTGGAAGTTCCTTCGGTGGTTCGGTCGGGGGGTGGTGCATCGATTCTGGAGCAATCGCATATTTGTGTTGATGGCTCGCCCAATCGTAGCTACTTTGCGCAATGGGAATGTTGCCATACTTTGGCCTCGGTCGGTGGTCGGAGGGTTGTAAAGTGTTGAAGAGCAGGAAGCCGAAGAGAATGGCGCCGATGATGATGGAGCGCCGCTGTCGTCGAGTAGCCATGTTGTCACGTCTAGGATGGTGCCAGTGTTCGCTCAAAGCTTGCTGCAGTATGTAAGCTTAGGCTCCCCAATTAGACCAGTCCATAGCTTAAGAAACCAGCCCCATGGCCCTCGGCGCGGGGCCTGGGGGCAGCGTTCCCCCGTCCCATGGGGCTGTTTGTCTCAGGAGTCGCAGGAGCTGTGACGTGGCGCCCAATAGCAAACAGACAGCTGGGCCATTTTGTGTAGGAACTGCAGCCAATAATGCTGGACCTCCGTGTTCGAGGGCCTTCGTCCAAGGTACAAATCAGGCGAGCGGAAAAAATCCCGGCCGGGGTGGTGCTGGAGTCAATGCTGCCGGCTTCCGCGCTACGTCAATAGAGCCAGCCAGTCTCCAGCGTCTCAGACAGTTAGCTGTAATACTTGATAAGGGACACGCCAATTGATTCGTTCAAGCTCATTCTCTTTAAGCCAGCCTCCTCTTGGTTCAATAAGAAATATTTCGAGATTCTATTTGCCCCAATTTAAACCCTGAGCCTCTATTTTGGACAGTCTACCACGACTGTACGCCATCCTGTGTCACAATCTTGCCAACATCGCCATCTCTGTCACCTTCGATGACTTTCTTGATCAGCTCGCCGCCCTTCCTTGGTTCTCCAGCTCCCATTTTCTTGAGCAACTCGGGATTGCCCCCCAAGCCAGTGGCCAGGAACCCTGGCGAAATCCCCCAAACCTTGACACCGTCCTGTTCGAAGAGGTAGTGCCAACTCAGCATCACCATGTTCAATGCAACCTTGCTTGAACGGTAGCCCATCGGCGTTGGGCCCTTCGGCCATCCCGCAGGAGTGGTTATCTTGCCTAAGTGCGGCATGAGACCATGGCTCGCGATGGCGGTGAGATTGGAAAGACCACTGGTGACAAAGAGGAGACGCGGGTCCGATGATTTCAGTAGCAAAGGTGCGAAAGCGTGTGTAATGACGTGGGCACTGGAGGTGTTGACATCGTACGCCTTGTTAAAGGACTCCCGGACAGCGGCGATGTTATTGGCGCGGGCGACGATAGTACCGTCGAATGAGGCCCCTGTAGTTGCAATGTCCATGTCAGGTCTCGGAAGGGTCCCGTAAGGGCGAATAAGTTCTCACCGGCATTGTTGACCAGTATATCAACAACTCCATGTTCATCGCTGATTTTCTGGAAAGCTTTTGAGATGGAGTCGTCGCTGGTGACCTCGATCTGCAGGGGCTGCAAAGAGCTCAGGGTAGCAGGGTATTCATCCTTGAGTCGAGCAATGGCTTCATCTCCCTTGTCCGGCGATCTTGATCCTAATATGATGTGATATGGCCTGCCAGACTCGAGAAGCTGCTTTACAGTCTCATACCCAATGCCGGTGTTGGCACCAGTAATGAGCACAATCCGCTTGGTGGGCATCGTAGGTAGCTGAAGCAGCTTGAGCGTTCTGCGAAGCGTCTTGATGATGTGACTATCATAAGAAATGTGAATAAATGACAATTCGGTTTGTTGCCGCCTCTTGATTTTCTTCGTTCTTTGGATAGAATGAGTCCGACAAGAACCATTTTAAGCAAGCGTGAGTAAACGGACACCCGAATTCTCCCTTACCACACCGTCGCATTTTGGAGCTCGCGCCCGGATTTAAGCTTCTAGGCTCGCAACAAGCCGAACCTCTCTTGGCGGTCTCTCGCTTCCCCCATCCGCCAGTCATTTGATTAGTGGCTAAGGTAAAATATAGGCTCCAGCGACGCACATTAAGGGAGAACAGCGTTTGGCGGTCAAAACTCAGGCTTTTATTTTCAAGAAGACAGAGCAGCTGTCACCTATGGCACCCATCAACATTATGGTCGAATTGGGGCGGGATCGTTCCTGTCAGATCGTGCAAGATAAATTGAAACATAACTGCCGGATTGACAGTCGCACCAACTGCTGGCTTGCTTCAGTGTCAAAAAACGGCGATGGCTATTGCCAGGTAAGTGACTGCTATGCCCAAAAGTGCAGATCCTTTCATTCACCGCCTATCTTGATACTCGTAGGTCTGGACGAAGCCGAATTCCGCTGCGACGAGAGGGCTCACAGGCAGAAGTGCCCAGAAAGCTTTCCTCCTTCACATTGTGTCTTTCGTAGCAGTTCATGGCCAAAACCCGACGGAGCAAGTCTCCCACCTCTGCGACCGTCGACACTGCTTTAATCCCGACCACCTAGTAGACGAGACAGCTCAACGCAACAACTCTCGTAAAGGCTGCCCCGGCCCGATCTACTGCGGCGACCACGGCCACCTCATTGTCAACTTATGCGCTCATGAACCCCCGTGTCTCAGACTCATTAGAGACGATATCAAGTGCTGCATCGTCCAGGGTGGATGAGGTCGTGGTCGTTGGTCGTCCACAACGCCGGGTTGTGTCCCGCGGGCTGCTCACCGTGCGCCTCCTCAGAGGCGAGAGAGTCGGAAACTGTCGCCGAGCACTGTAATACCCCGCAAGCACACTGCTTCTAATAACTCACTTTCTTCGCCCCATCACAACACAGCGTGTCCTCGGCAATCTTTCTCGTTTTGCATTGAGATTTGTGATCCACGCCCCAAATCAATCAGCTTCAATTTATTGCCTCTCATGGCGAAATCAATTCTCGTTATCGGTGTTAATGGCACTTTGGGCGCCAAGATCCTAGATGCCTTGGTCGCTTCCCAGTCTTTCAAACTGAGTGCCCTTAGGCGTGCGGGCTCCAAGAGCACCATCCAGTACCCAGTTGATCAAGTTGCTGTCGTCGAAGTCGATAGCGATCTCTCTTTTGAGGGCTTGAAGAAAGCATTCACTGGGCAAGATGCCGTCATCGTCAGCTTCCGTCTGCGAGACCTCGAACAGCATCTGCGCATTGCTGAGGCCGCGGAGGCCGCCGGCGTAAAGCACCTTATCCCCGCCGATTTCGGCAGTATTGACGCTGATAACCCTCGCGCCCGCGAGCTCATTCCTCTCTATCGCCACAAGAGAGCTGTCCGACTCAAGGCTCAAGAATTGGCCGACAAGAACAAAGATTTCGCTTGGACGGGCATTGTCTGCGGTCATTTCTTCGACTGGGGCATCAGAGAAGGGTTTCTCCACGCGTATTTGGACAAAAAGGTGATCGACATCATTGACGGCGGTAATTTAAAAGCATCTGCTGCCACTCTCCCCAGGGTGGGCGAAGCCGTCGTGCGCATTCTCCAGAAGGGTGTGACCGACGTGACGAGAAACAAGACGCTTTTTATTCAGAGTTTCTGCATCACTCAAAAAGAACTCATCAAGAGTCTAGAGAAGGCAACAGGTGCGGAATGGAAAGTCAACAACCTCAACTCTCAGAAATTCATCGAAGAGCACAAGACGAAGGCAGATGCAGGCGATCACAATGCCATCGAAGACCTTGTATTTGCAGTCGGCACTTTACATGCCGATTGGACCAAGCATCCTGACTTCGCCATGGAGGCTTTGGGTTTGGAAGACGAGGACTTGGATGCCATAGTCGCAGATATTGTTGCCAACCCAACCGGGAAATAAAGACGATAACGCAGTTTTCCCGCATCGAATATATTCAAGCTACGGTCGTCATAGACTAGTAATGAGCCTTCCACAAATTGCGTTGCGCTGTCCGCTACGATCTATATCTCTTGGCTCCCGCCTGACACCTTCTTGATAGCGTCAGGCAAGTTCTTCATGCCCTCGAGGAATACGTCGAACTCATTCTTCACTTCACCCATGTCTTCATCGATATCGTCCGTCCAACGATGAATGTAGATTGTCTTCATTCCCATCTCCTGGGCCGCCCTCAGATCGTAGGCGTGTGCTGCAACCATGAGGACGTCCTCCGCTTTAGCATCTATAAGATCAAGTGCTTTTCTGTAGGCTCCTAGGTTGGGTTTGTAAAGACCCAACAATTGGCTTGAGAAAAGCATGTCGAATTTCAGCCCTGAAGAACGACAAAGGTCTAGTTGTAGCCGACTCGTGCCGTTTGCATGCACGAAGACTTCAAGCCCGAAATCTTGCCTAACGCTTCGTATAGCCTCCTGCACCTCTGGCCATGCGGACTGAGAGTGCCATGCATCGATCATCTTTTGTCTGGTCGAGGTATCAAAGATTGCTATGTGTTGTGGCAGCCTGTCTAAGATACTTTCGAGAACGCGGTTCAACGTTACGTCGATGTTTTCTGGGGGAAGGTCTTGGAGGAATCTTGCGTTGTTTTCGATGAAGTATTGTCTGCGCCATTCTAACGTGAACTTAGAAGCCTCATCTCTGGGGATTGAAGACGGCCAAGATTGGAGCACACTTGAGTGCCAGTCGAGGCATGTTCCCATGAAGTCGAAGAAAACCGCCTTGAATCTTTTCGTCATTCTATTCGACGATGTTGAAGATATATTGTGTCTGGTGTTAAACAACTTGAGCATGGATTGACTGACTGTCCAAAATTGAATGGTTGGTTTTGGGGGGTTTTCAGGGCTTTTATCCTTTACATGTAGTGCATTGTAGCTGCAGATCAGCAATTAGTAATTGCAAAAGCAGTTGATGTCGTCGAAGGGCGTGTTCATCCTCTAAAGTACCCTCTGCCTAACGCAACTGCTGCAGACCAGAAATATACAGGATCAGCGTCAACCATGTCAACCAATCACATAGCCAATCAAACACGTTGCTCTGGTGCGTTCGGAATTCATCGGCAACTGTGTCCCTTCCTGGCATAGGGCAGCAACACAAATTCAAGTGCCTGGGCTTGCCGTGAATCAGACAGAATTCGCCTACGGAGCTGACTAGGGGAGAATATGCCCAACGCCCCGCATACATATTTCGTTTGGGCAGGGCTAACGTTTCTTGAGAGCCTCAAATGTATCACATCACTCGCACTCAGGCTTGACTCCATCGCATTACTAAAAGACTCATGAAAATTCCTAGTATCTCTTTGTGCCTATTCTATCCCTAGTAGCACCACGATTAAGTTATAGTGGGTGTTATGATACTAGAGTGTGTACTAATGCACTCACTTATCATTATTGTGTCTAGGTAAAAGTGTGATCATCTAAAAGACGGATAATGCGTTGAGATCGGGATTCTTGATGAGTATGATATCAGACCCGAGTAGACTTTCTTTTACGCGAACTGGAGTTCCTCAGTTCCATGCATTTTGGCGCACCTGTGCAAATGCCAAAGCCTTTGATACAGTCCGTTGCGTTGACAGCGTCCACCCCGCAGTTTTTAGCCCGAAAAAGGCAAAAAAAGGGGCTTTTTACCAAAAAACCACCAAATTACCCTAAACTTCGTTCACTAATACCTCTATGCGTACGTAATACGCGTAAATAAAAAATATATTAATTGATAGCCCTCAGTTAGGTGATTATAATGATATCTTTTTTATTCTCGCGCATTACGTACGCATAGAGTTATTTAAGTATGAAGTTAAGGCTGATTTTGAGGGGTTTTTTAAGCGGACAGTTCAACACAACGCGCCAGGGGTTTCGTTTTTTCTTTTCAGCGTTTCATAAGTATCCGCTAACCTAGAAACCCCCTTAAAACCCCCTAAACTTCACACTTTAATAACTCTATGCATACACAATACGCGTAAATAAAAAATATATCAATTAATAGCCCCCGACTAGGTGATTATAATGATATCTTTTTTATTTACGCGCATTACGTACGCATAGAGTTATTAAAGTGTGAAGTTTAGGGGGTTTTAAGGGGTTTCTAGGCTAGCGGAAAATTTCCCTTCCGGGTCAAACTTGGGGGCGGACGCTGTCAACGCAACGGACTGTAGCCTTCTTGTCGGAGAATTAAATGGTCACAATGAATATTATCAGGGAACCGAGGAAGCCCATTGCGAAATATTTGCCTGAAGGTGTTCATTTGTAGAGTACCTTGTATCTCGCGAAGCGTCATAGCACCACGCAATTTAATGGGTAAACCCCGCGTATAATTCATCGCGAGACAATTATTTCAGACATCAGTATGTGATAGTTGCCACTTTGCGAACATACTTGTCGTTGCTGCAGTTCAAGATATTCTCGAACATCCATCTGCCCACGTCCTCTCGGCAAATTGTATATCCTATGGCTAGGCTGTCCACGCCATTGACTGGATCTTCGACGCCGACCTTGATTGCAACACCAGAAGTTTCCTTTCCGTTGGTGAGAAAACTAGTTCGGAGAACTGTCCATTCTTCTCCGGAGTTGAAGAGAAGCTCCTCCAACGCGCGCTTATCCTGGTGGGGTGTGGAGAGAAGGCCCTTATATATGGGGTAAATGATAAGCGGTGTGTCTCTGCCGAACTTGGATATGCCGGTGCTGCTCTGTCCGATGACTCGAGGACGTCCAGAAACTCCTCTTTCGGTGCGTAGAGTCTTGATGGTATCGAGAAGAACAGCCATGCCACGCTCACATACATGTACGTCCTCAAGAGTCATTTTGCGCAACTCAAACCAGGCACCAATGGTGGAAACGACGAAGTCCACAAAGGATGTTGCGTCATGAGGCGAAACAACACAATTCTTGATGGCTTCCATGTCGTGCGCGTTTCCCTTGAATACCTGAAGGTTGGGATAGATTTCGGGGGAGAGGACAGACATGAGTTTGTCTGGATTCCGACATAGTGCGATGCACGTGAAGCCGGCGGCCAACGATCGGCGCAAGGCAGCTTGGCCACAGCCGCCGGTGGCCCCGAGGAAGAGGATTGTCTTCGGGGTTTGCATGTTGACGGACTTTACAGTGGAGAGGGTTACCCGATTACGGATGCGACGATGCGAATGCGGGTACCGGGGTCGGCAAGCTGGGGTGTAGTCAGACGGGGCGGAAGTCCGGTCGCAAAGTTGCAGTGGGGAGAGATGAGTAGAAGCAGCTGTATGAAAGCAGTACGACTGTATGCCAGTTGCACTTTGAGTTCCACAGTAACAGAACAAACGCGTGAGGGCCGAGAGGGCTAAAAAGTCGAAAACAGTGTTGATGGTGATCACAGTGGCAATACTGACTGACAGCAGCGGTGCTCTGGGGCGAGGAAGGCGATACCCTTTTATTCTTTCCCAAAACCCGGCGGTAATGCGATTCTCTACAAGGCAGCATCGCAATGGCAAAACCACATCATGGCGAAGGCCTCATGTTGAGCCGAGTTGCTGCTGGTGGCTTGGGCTACGACCCAGGCATATGGGTCGAAGGATTAGATCCCTGACGCCACAAAGGTATTTCGGTGATATGAAAGGGAGTCGACGGTCGAGAATTCCTCCGCCCTTACTCCCCGTCCGGCGCGTGGCGTCCAATCGGAGTCTTCAATCAGTCGTGGCCCTGTACGCATGGTAAGCTCCTCAGGACAGACAACGGGACAAACTGACCGATTCTTCACCCATGATTCCGTGATCCATGAAAAGGTGGGCTTGAACCGCATGCGGCCTCCGCCCGGGCACTTGGTCATTTGGTTCTCTTGCAGTTCATCACTCGACCGAAACCCTGCGCCTCCTCGGTTCTTCTGATGCATTGTCCATCATCATCGCCCGTTGAGTTCAAACCTTGCTGCCCGCAAAACCCCTCTTCCCTGACTCGTTTGCGATTCTCGATTCTCGATTAGTGACTCCCTCAGGCTTCTGGCGCCGCGTGACTCTCGCCTAGTCGATTCTGTTCTGCGAAATTGACGCTTCCGAAGCCCTTGAAACTGGAAGCCTTCATTCACATCGTCTTCGACATGGCCCTTCATCTCTTCATCCAGATGACACATGTCGGCCTAGCGTGACATTCTGGATATCGCCCACACTCGTCACGATACGACCCGACGAGTGTCATTTTGTGACCCCGTCGGGAAATTGGCTTCGAACTTGCCATCATTGTCCTGTCTTCGACCACCAACTTGTCCTGGCAGCCCACAAGATGGGCATCGGCAATACTGCGGACGACATGCGCATCCCTGCGAACCCAACCTTGAAGCACAAACGTGACGTTTCGTTGTGGCAAGGAGAGTATTCCCTACTCTCATGCGGTACTGGATGCGGCGATTCACTCCAGCGTGGGCGGTACAGGGTCGTTTGAGTTTCATCTGAACTCTCACATCACTTACTTCCTCAAGGAGCGTGCTGGATGAATCTCAGTGACCAACTTATCAAATCACAAGTCACAAGCAAGGGTACTGGGAACTTTTCCCTCGGCCGGAGGGTCTTCACGGCCCAGGCCTCATCCATGCTGTTTCGTAGATCTCTGACACCAGCTCCCAGCTATCGGACTACGCGTCTTCCTATGGTCATAATAAAGATAGAAGTGTGCCTCCAGATCGAATCGTTCGAGCACAACCAGATGTGATCTGGTTATCATCCCTAGACCAATCATTCAATCCCATCCTGGATTATTCGACATGCTTGTGGGAAAGTCGGTCCCGGAACTCATCCTGGTGAGGACCATGGTGGTCTTCTTCCAGTACCTAGGCTTCTTGTGTTTCATTTACTTCTGGTTTATTCTCGCCATAGCAGGTGTGCCTGGGATTGCTCACCCCGTGTCTATCATAATCGAAGTTATTGGTCTTATCGAGATTATCTTCTATTTCGCCTTTTATCTTCCATTCCGATCTCGCTTACAGAAGCCGGGCTTCGAAGTCGAACCATTGTCGCAGGCCGAGCGCCGACAATTCTTTCAAAAGGGCCTTGACCACGCTCCAGATGTCGAGCAGTACATACGGAAATGGCATTGCAACGCCCAGCTTGGAGACATTCGCAGAGAGAATGTGAAGGACTGGTTGATGTGGGCGCTGTTCGACAAGCAGGGCAATCCAGGAGAGCACGACGCCGAGCTCGAGGAATACATCGCAGATGCAGAAGAGCGCGCGGGAGTAACCATCAAGAAGGGATATGGTGACTCTACCCCAATGCGCCTCAGTTTCGATCCGATCGACATCAGGCATCGCAGCTTGCTGTTCTATCTTGTAAGTTCGTCACCTTTCAGCGACGATGAAGTAGCTCATGAGACAAAATCAGATAGTAGGAGGCCTCGACCTCTTTGTGACCGTTGTCCTAGCGATCAGAGGGTTCAAGTTTTACCGACAACCGCGCAAGACTTTCTTCTCCGTCTTCCCTTTGCGACCTATGACCCTCCTGGCACCGAATGAATCGAATAGCTCGCAGCTGAGTTACTTTTGCCGTCCGCATTCATCCAAGGAACATCGCCCGATCTTGTTCATCCACGGAGTCGGTGTCGGCCTGCTCCCATATCTATACTGGCTGTGGACTATTCCTAAGGACGTCGGTGTGCTCTGTATCGAGATACTACCCGTCTCCTCACGCATTTGCCCGCCGTTGCCCCCAACCGACGAGCTTGTCGCCGGCATGGATGCAATTATTCAGCAACAAAATTACAACGACTTTGTGTTTGTGGGAAACTCCTTCGGTACCCTATTTGCGGCGCCCCTCCTCAAGAAACCAGACCTGGCGAGACGAATTAACTCCATCGTCCTTATCGATCCCGTTTCGCTGCTGCTCCATCTTCCTGCAGTGGCCTACAATTTCACTCGACGAACACCGAAATGGGGCAATGAATGGGAGATCTGGTTCGTAGCCACGGACGCGATGACAGCGCACACCTTAGCAAGGCGCTTCCGCTGGCAGGACTTTATTCTCTGGACCCCTGAGCTTCAAGGGAAACGCACGACAGTGGTCTTGGGCGGCGAGGACTGCGTGACAGACCCAGACGCGGTGGCCAGCTACGTCTACTTCGGCGACCTCAACTATAGCCGCGCCGATAAACACGAGTGGTCCACTACGCCTGACAGGTGGTCAGGACAAGGGGAGCTGGAGCTGATGTACCTGGCTGGCATGGACCACGGACAGGCATTTCTCAGTATCAAGCATATGCCGCGGATAGGGAACGTGGTATTAGAGTACACGAAACTAGACCAAGAGATGGAATCCCGACAGGCAGAGGCTGTGAAAGAAGAAGAGCAAAACCAAATCTGAACGAGTTTATGATTTATGAGGGGTCTATCTGCTCTTTGGATTGGAGTCGAGAGGTTATGGTCGGGAACCTGTCCTCGCATTCAATAGTCACACGATATCCACATGTACATCACAACGAGAAGATAGAAATGATCGTTTTCCCCTGCGACTGAACCGAATACACATCCTGAGTATTGAGTCTTGTCCTGGGCAATCCATGAAAGAGAGAATGAAGACGCGGAAGACGCGGAAGACTCCAGGGTTAGCATGCCAACCCCCCACATTTCCCCTGCCCCCCTAAGCACGTCGGGTTGCCGCCGCTGAACTTGCCATTTCTTTTCTTTTTCGAGATGTATCGATTGCGAGAAAAGGAAATTTGGGCAGCTTGTCTTTGCATGACGCAAGGGGTTGTCAGGACTGGCGCGGCCCCAAGGCGCCACAGGTTAATCAATCGAAACGCTCCATCGCCGTTCGAAGTAATCAGATGCTTTCCTTTACCAGGGTCTAAGATGAGCCACGACACGTCCTTCATACACGCGACGCGTCTTGGCCTTCGGAACAGTTGGGATTGTTGGCAGCTCCCATTCGAGACGCTTGGGTGATTGAGCGATGGCTCTCTCGTCGATAAAAAGGAGATCTTCCTCCTCAGAAAATTGGTCAAGGTTTACCCTCCATCAATTCTTCCACCGCGTACCACAACCATGGCCGAAGTCGAGGATGTAGTCGAAGATCCCACCAGCCTCGTGCAAAGCATGTTGCGTTCCATCTGCATAAACATGGAAGTGAGCTGCGCAAGAGAGGTCATTCCCGAAGTGCACAGTCCGCATGTTTTCACCGTGGAATTCCTCCAGCCTCTTTACCTCATTTGCGCCTTCCTCGACATCAGTCCTGAAGGCAAGCGACTTGGTGACACGGTAATGACCCAGCTAACCTGTTTGGTAGTATGGCACGGCATCCTCATGGAAGCAGCCAATCTGCTGGCCTGTAAGCGACTCAAAATCGACGAATGTGAAAATCAGATCTGTTTTTCGAGGCGGGACCGGCGGAAAAAACACCGCAAGTCACCATGCTGCGCGTGCTGCCTTTGCCTACCAGGCTGCCGTCGTTGTGACGCCGAGCTACAGGTGCAGTCGTACGAAAAGCCACCGCGAAAGCAGGAGCGGTTTGAGCTCCTGTTTAGAAAATCCCACTTATGGGATATATACTACGCTATGTGTGGTGTGTCGGTACGTTAGGCGTAGAAGGGGAAGCATGGTCGCTTCAAGGTTCGCATTTCACTCGTCTAACAGTTGGCTCGGGTTCAAGAGCCCATTCGACAGGTTGCCCGGGATCCAGCTTTGGAAAGGCCAACAATCGCATGTAAGTGCCGCCGGTACGCTGGGTATCTCCTCTTAACATTTGGTCAGAAAACCTATCGGATGGAAGCGTTTCTCGTCAAGCAATCTGGGAGAAAGTACGAGCTCCAGAAAACCTGCATGAGGAATGGACCGGCCAGGCATGTGCTCGAGATCGAGGGACTACGGACAGAGCTGCTGCGCAACAAGGTGGCGTTGGAGGCTCTGTTGGCGGAGAACGTGGGGTTGCGGGCGGAGAACTCACATCTGCGATTGGAGAGAGAACACTGTTTGAAGCTACTTGAGTCCGTAGGCGTGCCGGCGCCGTCTCAACGTGAGCTTCCATTCTTAGCTGCGGCTGATGACGAAGTTCTGGGAGCGAGAGTCGCGAAATCGACTTCTGATTATGAAGAGGAGTAAGACAACTCCCATCACCTGAGATAAAGCCACCCTTGCTCACACTGCTGACACTCCGACTAGTGGCTTGGATGCTGGCTCTCCTGATGACCAGGTCAGACCACTGCCTAACATGACTGTATTGGCGCAGACAAACCGCAAGAAAACAAAAAAGCAGCGTGCGAAGGCGGCTCGGGAGCGCAAGCGGCGACGAGAGCACAACAAACAGCAGCATCAACAGTTGTTTGGAGAGCATGGTAGCATCGAGAAACCTCCGCAGCCTGTAAAGGCGGGCCGTTTGAGGACCCGACCCTTCAATGTCTGTCGTGGTCCAAACCTATCTTGCAAACAGCGGACTCTGAATCGAGCGACCTGGGAGGAGTTTGAGACAACTCTAAGACCGGACATACGGAGAGATATCAAGACAATTTCGACAGCCTTCTGGTCCTCTGTGAATTGGGGGAGATATTTGTCAAGAAAGGCAAGAAGTGAGTTCATGCAGGCTCATCGGAAGTTTCTCTGTACACACGCCCGTTTGTCAGATCCAGTCAAGCCAGCGCCCAGTGACAGATTGATGGGTATGTTGCGGACAGCTATGCGTGGCTTCAAACAACACGTTGATTATGTTCGGTCAAAGGGCGCCTCAGGCTTGGAAGGACCGGAAAGGATGTTGAGCGAGTTTGAGGAATTGTGTATGGAGAAGTTCAGAATGTAGAATGTGAGTACCAGCTGTTTTTAGAACGATTTGCAGCCAGGGCTTGTTCCACACGTCGTCCTTGTACCTCTTTAGGCGTCATTGATGGAGGTGATTGATTTGATTGTCAATCAGCAATGCGATGTTGAGTTGACAGCCAGCCAGCACACAAGCAAAGTAATCAATCCAATGTCGTTGTACACAGGCTGTGGAAGCCCGCAACATCTTGTTGTAAACGCGCCAATCTCTAGGCATCCATGTGTTATAGCTGGACGACCATCATTGTTGCGTTACCTCTGATTCCCTCGCCCTGTGCATCGGGAGTACCAAGCTTTCACGCCTTGAGCAATCAGCTTTAGCAGCTCTATGTGCGGCAGGTATGTCTTTCGATGCCCATTGTCGCGTTTCTTACACTAGCAAGGAGCCAAGGGTTGTGATATTTGGAGGACATTAGTATTTGTTCGGCTGAAGATTGCAACACTGCGCCAGTGAATCATCAGCCCTCAAGCCTAGTACGTCAATTCCACGAGTTTATTAGCCTAGACAAACTCATGAAGTATATAGAAGGTTGTGATATATACAGTAGACGGTCGCTAGCGCAGCGTTTTCACGTCAATCTTGTTACTTTAGATGTTTACGTCACACATCATGACTTAGGCGCGTCAGTCAAGGGCACATATCGAACACCGAAAAGCTTCTCCTTGACGACGGATCCGTCCTCCTTCTTGTCAATGGCCCAGACATACTGGTCGTAGCCGTTGTCGTCCTCGACGGGGATGAACATTCTGTGCTGCAGTTAGCCCCCGCGACGACTATCGTCGATATACAGGCAGTCTACTACTCACCTGCCCGGAGCGCGCAGCTGATCCACTAGCTCCTGATGGAGCTCCACGGCTGCAGCGCCGACGTGGATGGCATCCCATCCGGTGCCGCCTCCCTCTTCCCCTGGCCGCGGGGCTTCTACCCACCCCTTCCTCCCGTCGCCCGTGTGAAATCGCACCTTGCCGCTGTCCAGCAAAGCCCGCCCCTCGTCGCTTTTCCGCATGTTGCGCTCTCCCAGGTCCCTCAGCGCTTTGATGTGTTCTAGTCCGACCACCAGGCCCTTTTCTCCCACGAGCTCCGCGAGCAGGTGCGTCAGGTACCCCGACCCCGAGCCTATGTCCAGCACGCGCGGGGCCGGTTTCGTCGCGGAGGGGGTGAGGTGCGGGAGGAGGGACTCGGCAGCGGTGGCATGCATGTGCGGCGCGGAGATGGTTGCCTTGTGACCGATGGACTGAGGAGAGTCTTCGTAGGGGGCGGAGGGAGCGTAGTATGCGCGGTCAACCTAGAATGTCAGCACCTCTGCTCGCGCCAGCCGTTACCTTGGCCAAGTGGCGAGGCGTGCCATTTACCTTCAGAAAGGCGTCCTTGACCCGTTGGTCTTTTATGAGACCATTACGCCACAAGTTCTCGACGAGGTCTTTATTTGATGCGCCGGAGCTCCGCCAGGCCATCTTGAAGCTGAGAGGGAGGGAGCGGTGCACTTGGCGTTTGGTTTGGTCGTTGATCGAGCTTGGGACGAGCTTGAGAGCTCTCCGAACGAGACGGTACCGAGAAATCGTGGCGGCGAATAAACCCGAATAACAATAGAAACAGATGGAAAAACTCGAGGGACCTGAAGAAGGTGGACAACTGTTTCGCGGTGTATTGAGCTAGGTACGCTTCCTTACCTAGGTGCTTATCAACATGAAGAATGGAAGGTGCATCTAGATGTAGGTATGTGGCGGGAGCAGGAGCTGTTCTCGGGCGATGGTTCGCGTGGAATGATGTAACCCGCTTCCCCAGAGCTTCTAGAGCCGCTGGAGATGAGGGGCAACTGCAGTAAACCGTTGCAGTTCCGAGTCCACAACACCCCGGCGAGCGCTAAACCTTCGCCCCCGCTTACGGATCATCCCGCTGCGACCACTAAATTCCCTTGAAAGATTCCCCACGAGCACCGCAGGAATGTCACCGTTTTGCTCCGTCAAGGCCAACCGTGTCAGGCAATAATCAACGCTGTCCAAGGATTTGTTTGTCACACTAGTCGGGCAGTCGAAGAGCAGATGTACTAGAAACTCAGTTGTGATGCTGAGGGAGGCCTCGCGCTTCCATGGCCAGATATATATGCAGATTACCCGACGCCGTGAATTCCCATCCCATTAGCACCCCACGAAGACACAGCCAAAGACATAGTAAAGGGTGCCATTGTTGTAGGCTTTTTGTCCAGTAGGCGGACAGTCTACGACACATTGCTGCGCGTTGTGATGCATAAAGACGCCGAAACTAAACCACTCTCTCCGTCGATTCGCCCTCGGCAATGATGGGCACGGGCAGGCCGCGGTCTGGGCTCTGGAGCACCAGCTGCTCGTGTCGTCTCGCCTTGAGATAGTCGCTAACAGATCTGATAAGGACGAACCAACCAACTACCATTAAGATGTAGGCAATCCACTCCTGTCCAGTGATGTCCGCCACGCCGCCGCCACCCTCGCCCGTCACCGCGTTGGGGTCGAAGTTGTGAGAATTCGGGTCGGGAGGCGCAGCGTAACCGTCTTGGCCGTTCATCTTGGGTGGATGGTCACCCTCCGTCGTCCCCTTCATGTAGAAGCCGTACTGGATCAGCGTGATGCCGAGGCCCGCGCGCGAACCGTTCTTGGCCGCGTGGGTCGAGTGAAGGAGGTAAGTGAGGATGAAGCCGACGATCTGGAAGGACATGGAGATCATGCCGTTCCAGACAAAACTGAAGAGTGAGCCAACGGGCATGCCGTCGATGTAGACTTCGTCGGGGCCGCCGAGGCCAGGGGCGAGGATCGTAGTTTCCCAGTAGGGGGGAGCGGCATCGGCAGCGGCCTGCTCGTACGTCTATTTTCTGTCAGTATTCGCTCGAAATCACGGCCATTCTGCCCTTGGAGATTGATGCGACGTACGGGAGGTTGTTCTTCCTTCACCTCGCCTCCACGCTCGGGCTTCGCAGTCAAGTTGGAGAAGACGCCTTCATTCTGGATGCCGCTGCCGTAAATGCGGAAGGGCGTTGTCGGGCCGCCGGCGGTGGTGGAGGCTGTTGGTGGCAGTTGTGTGACATGGCGTTCGGGCTGGGGTCTCGAGTCGGAGGAAGGGTTGCGTGATGCGTCGCGGGAAGCCTGGGTGGAGTCGGCGCGGACTAAGCGTTGTCGGTCATCGGCGTCGTCATCGCTATCGTCACCGTCGGTATCGAAGGCGTCTGCCAGTGCGGGATCAACTCCACGACGGTCGCGCGACGACGCTCTGGAGTGGAAAGAGGGCGGTGGTGAGTTGGGGACGGGCTGCGATTGTCGTCTTGGCGGAGCGGAGTTGGGGGCTTCGAAGTCGTCTTCGTCGTGATCATGGGCATTCACCTGATGGAACAAGACGTCAGTATGTTTATCGCGGCGGCGATGGAAGGTATCGGGGCCAGGCCATGGGACTTACCCTCTCATAGCCTCCGGCCATCTTGACGATTTTTTTGGTGTGATTTTACGGCGGCGTGTTTCAATCGAGGAACTCGAAAGGCCCCTTTCGCCACTGCGGACGATGCGACTAGCGTTGATTGAAACGGCGAGAGGAAGATGGGAAAAGGCCAGGCAGGGAACGTCGGAAGAAGATGGGATCGGGGGGGACGCAGAGAAAAAGAAACAAAGCGGAAAGGAGAAATGTCGATCGTCAGTCGGAATCGTAGGAGACGTCGGAGGGGAAGAGAGGCGGCAAAAGGAATGACGGGTGTTTGGAGGTTGCTAAAGAACAATGCAAGGAAAAGACGACGAGGGCGACGGGAAACAGCCGTAGCGGGCGGGCTTCTGCTGCTGTTCCTCACCCAAGCAGTCGCGGCGGTTGGCTCGGTGCGTTTGGGGGGTAGCCGACGGAGGTGCACCTCACTAAGGGGCGAAAGTGCGGGTGGAGGCTTATGCGTCGACTCCGTGCCTTGGGTACCAAGGTGTCTTACGTAAGGCGGGCTTTGCGACAATAAGGGCGCCAAAATGCCTGGAGCAAGCCCCTGTGCCCCCTGTGGCAGTGATGCCCTTTGACATGGCCCGGGACTATGCGCTAAGCCATTCCAGCTTAGCAGGCCGTGGCCTGGGCCGAAGGTACTGGAAGAGTGGGGAGGACAGGGCGTGGGCACGAGACAACTGGGCGTGGTTGGTCATGTGACCTCTCCATCAACTCGCGCCAACCTGTTGATTTCCGACTCGGTCTACAGCGTAGGCTTCGTCGTCCGACACTGTCATGGGAGCAGTCTGGAATGCTTGAGGCGATATGGTTGTCGCTACCTTACCGACCAATGATATTGGCATACCTCTCTTGAGCATGACAATGATGAAGATGGAGACACTAGCGATAACACCCATTTCTCAATATCCGTAGCCGGCCACATGGTACCTTGTGTTACCCGTTCTACATAAATAATTCTAGAGCACATCTCAGCTCAAACTTGCTGTACCAATATGGTGTGTTAATGCTGTCTCTTGTCTCGGTTTTATAGCAGCTTTGTGAGTGATCCGGCGCCAGAGTCTCGCCTGGCACCGTGAGCTGCCTGCTCGCAATTTAGTGGCGTCGTTTATGTATAATGTATATAAGTCCTCCTTTTAAGGGTTATACTTCACCATTTTAGAGATTCTGTCTTCTGTTTCCATTTATTGAGTTGCTAGATGTAGTCTGATTTGGAATATTTTCTAGGGCAAACGACTTCTCGAAGGTAGGTATTTCATGATGGTTTTTGGCAAAAAGGCGCTGAGAAAGCTACAGGGTTTCTCGATAAATGACCATTGCCTAGGTACTCAGCCGTTTAGAACAAGATAAAAGCAACAATGCGAATTCAAGGCATCAAGCAAGCCGACAGACATCACAAGGACTTAATCATGCCCCAGGTACGTACGGTACTCAGTCTCGCGTGCACCTACCCTGCAGCAGGCCGTCGTCAAGAGCCAATCATAAACCTCACAATAATCCACCTCAAAGCTGCTCTGCCGATTGCCGGAACGGGTAAGCTCCGGGGCAGCGTGCGCTCCAGAAATTAATTTGCGTCTGTAATCCAGCGCAGAAATCCTTGACGTCGATGACGGCGTCTTCCATCTTTTGCGACTTCGCCATCTCGTCGCATTAACCCCTCCTCCGCCGGCAAGGATTCACTTCCACGGCGAGACCATGTTGGGAGAGTAACAACCAAACATTTCACCCTTTCCTATTCTCTTCGCAAACATGGCCCGGTCAACAAGCGTGAGTAGTTCCCTTCTTCGCTGCAGCTCCCGCGATGCGTCCCTCCGTTGCTTACACGGTTTAACTGCAGCAAGCATACAAGCACTTCCAGCGCGCTCTGGCGCTGTGGCCAAAAGACAACCTCCGCCCCGAAGTCCAGTTCCCCGAGTTCGCCGCCCGCGGCCTCGAGAGGAGGTTTGCCAACCCCGCCGTCAACGAGTTGAGCGAGCTGAAGCAGGCCAACGCCCTGTACGCCCTGGCCGATGACAGGTTCAAGAAGCAGGTGTGTGCCACGGCTCCGTGCGATTGACTTACCTCCCGCTAACCGCCCTCAGTTTCCCTTGAACGGCGAGCTGCTGCAGCCCAAGAGCCAGCCCACATATTTCAATGATTTGCTGAGAGAGCTGGAGGAGGCCCCCACGCGAGGCTGGCTACAGAACATGTCCAAGAAGCTCAGCGGCATGTTCAGATTTCAATAATGAAGGACACGACACATCACATACCCCGCGCATGTCGCACCGTCCCTGGCAAGGCCATGTCCCTCTGCGAGACGTTATTGCTGGACCCTCAACTATGTACAGTACCATGTATAATACCTGTACCCTGAATCGTGTGTCTATGCCGATACAAAGTAGACCCAAACGCCATTCTATTTTCAAGTACCAACGATTCCTAAATGTATCGTCTCTCGGGGTCCATCTTGTCCATGAAATCCATGCTCTTCTCGTACATGGTAAACACCAGTCCTCCGCTCACAATGAGACGGGCCAGACGAGGCAGCGCACCGCTCCAGAACGTCAGCAGCCCCTCCTGCTTGAAGATCATGCCCGCGCAACGGAACGAGTTGCCGTACTGCGTCCGTGCCTCGATGCTCTGCATTCTGGTCTTGATCGTGTCGAGAGGCTGCGTGACATAGACCGTGATCAGGCCGGCAATGCCACCCATCGCAAAGGTGCCGACGGCGCCAAGCTTCTCCCCGGGCGCGGTGTAGGACTCGGCCAGCTGCTTGAGCATGTTGTATGCGCCGAACCGGGTGGCACTGTTGGCCGCTTGACGTGCCGTCGTGGGGACGAAGCCCTGGAAGAAGCCGCGGATTCCACGTTCGCGGGCGATGATGGGGACGGCGTGCAGGAAGCCGCGCATGCGAGGCTTGGGGGATTTCCTATCATCGATGCTGCGAGGCGAATGGTTAGCAGGGCCGTGGCGAGACTCGCCGCGATGGGCGTTAACCTACAGCGTTGTCTTGATACTCTCAAACGGCGTCACGGCCAGCGCGGACTCTGTGACGCCAGCGCCAAAGCCGGCAATGACCGTCTTGGGGCCTGAGATCTTGCCGTCGGCATCGGCGAGGAGCTTCTTGTACTGGTCAAACGCGACAAATCCTGCCAATTGCGTCATTAGTCGTTGTCATCCCACACGGCCGCGTAGTCGACGTACGGATTCCCGCCTTGAGGGAGTTGCCGATGATCAGCGTGGTGCAGCCAGCATACCACTGCTTGCCAAAGGGCGGCCAGGGCAGCTTCTTGCCGTCGGCCAGTTGGCGGTTCAGTTGCGAACGGGTCTTGGCGACTATCGCGGGGGGTCAGAGGCAATTCGGGAGGGGCGTTCGGCTGTAGGGATTCTTACACTCGGCAGGGTACGTGATGGCTATGGGTGCGATTAGCTCAGGTCATTGAGTTGTGGACGAGTCCGGTCGTCGTAACTCACCAATCTCCAGGGCGCCGGCCGTAGATCCAGCGATGATGGATCGCAGGACCGTAGGGCCCCCCTTCTTGACGGGCTGCGACTCGTCCTTGGTCGCCGCGGGGGCGGTCGTCGCGGTCGACATCGTGGAGTGCGGTGGGCGGGATGTGCCGAGAAGGACGGGTAATCGATGCTGGTTCTCGGAGTTTGTCGCTTTTTTTTTTTTCTTCCCCTCCAAAGAGCTCGACTTGCGTGCAGGCGCAAGCGTCGTGCCAGCGCTCGTGCACCTGCGTCCGAAATCGCGGGGTGTGGAGACCACTGACAAACTCCCGTCTCGGGTACGTACTGCCTGACGTAACTCTTCACCGACACACCGAACCATTGCTTTCGACTAACAGCAGTTTAGTCGATCACGAACCGCTTGAGTCCGTTTCTATACCAAGGAGTGATGATGGATTATTTCTGAATTCCTCGTGCTTTCTAAGTGAGCTTGGGTATTCTTAAAGACCAGGCAAAGAGTTTGCAAATTATCCTATGGCATTTCTCGGCAAATGAAGACATGCGCGCTTCTCGTCAGATTTCATTTGTTCTTATCCTCTAACTCCAGCCATGACCTACCTTTCCAAGCTCTCATATCATATCTTACGATTGCATACACTTGTACATAACATGCTTACCATGGTTCACAAGAGACGCAGTCATGACCTCGTTTCAGGCCAAAGCCCATGACACCCATGCCTAACACGCTAGTAACAACGTAGGCGTCGTTCAAATTGAAACATCTAAACATGTTATGTCCTACGGTAAGCCTTGGACTCGAAAGAATACGGTTTGCCCAATTACGCAGCATCGATTCACAATATTCACTCGGTAACACAGACGCAGCGTAGGGGGCAAAAGGCTTAATTACAGCTAAAGAAGACATGGCCCCGTCTTCCTAGTCTATCAAAGACTATCGTATATATATACACAATGAAACCAATTCCGCTTTTGTAGGACAGGGTATTTACTGCATGGCAGGGACCTTGATGGAGGCAATGGTCCAGACCTTGCCGCCCTCGCTGCTGGTAAGACCGGTGTAGACGGCACCCTGGCTGGAGCCGATGGTCTCGCCGAAGGAGGTATCAGCGTTGGAGAGGGTGATGACGGTGTTGGCGTAGGTCTGCTCAGCAATGGTACCGGTGCAGCCGTCGTTGCACTCGGTGCCGGTTCCGTAGCCCCTCATGAAGGGTCCGGACTTGTGGTCGAGCGAGCTGATGACCTTGCCGGAGGACACGTCCGTGACGGTCTGGCGCCAGGTGTTCTGGTCGGACTGGAGGGTGTAGTCGATCTTGATGGCCTGGTCGCCCTTGACGGGGGCGGACGTCTCGCTGTCGATCTGGCCGAACGAACCGAAGACGGAGGCGCGGACGCACCACTGGCCGCTGGTGGCGCCGCACCAGCTGTTGTCGGGCCAGGACTCGAGGGTCGTCTGGATGAGGTCGCCGGTGCCGTTGGACATGCCGGGCCAGAGGAAGAGGACGCCGGCCTGCGTGGGGGGAGCGGCGCCGGGGGTCAGGGTGGTGACGGCCTTGACG